CTAGAAAAAAGTAGAGGCGCCGATTTAAGATTGCCCTGCCCTTACGGGAATTTTTACAACAGTTGTCCCCGGCCTGGTTCTTTCTAGACACGCTGAACTTCCACCAACCCCAACCAACAAGCCCACGTTAAACGTGGAAGATGGCAACTGAGGTCCAACATATTGGGAAAATACCAGGCTGGGGTAAGGTTATTCCACCCGCTTTGTTCCTCACACAAGTGAGCTCAACCTCCAGCTCCAGCCAGGCTTTCGGACCCGACCACTCTCCGTTGCCATGGTTACCCAGTCATCTCACACGACCCCCTCTGGGGTGATCTGGCTTCCCCTCCTCTTCATACTCACATATGACCGCAAGGCGCTCGCACAGGACTCTCAAACACCTCCAGGCACACCGGGCAAGTGAAGCGAGAAAGCGGATCCACTCGCTCCCCAGTCGCACCCTCCGGCAACCGAGCACTCGCCTCGGCCAACGCCATCTTCTAGAATGACTTCCGCGAAGCCGCTCTGACTGCCCCACAACACCGCTAGCGCGAAGCTAGAGCGAACGACGGCGGCCTAAAAGGCCCAGACAGTGTTCGACCACGCCCATCACGTCGCGAAAGGGGGGAAATGCGCACGCGCACGCCGAGGAACGATTGCTGCTGGTCGCGGCCGAGGCGGGAGGAGTAACGCGGGGGTGCTTGGAAATACAGTAAAGGCGGGAGAAACGCTGACGGGAAGACTCGAAGTGGATCACCCGTTAGAGGGAGATGCGGGGGCTAAATAAGTTTACTCTGGTTTGTGTGTACACATTGCAATAAGCTGTGCTTTGTTTTAAGGGTGTCTTGTCGAACAAGCCATAGTCGGCAGGTTGACTTTCCATGCTAAGCAACAAACCGTGGCTTTCAATGTAGTGGCTGGATTTTCATATAATTGCAAAGCTAAAAGCAGCCAGACCTGAGTATGATCGAGCAAGATGTGTGTGAATCGAACCACTGTTGTGCCTACTGCTTCTGCCCATCAAATGAAGATAAAAGTTTGCAACACTTCTTTGTTGGAAGTCTAGCTAGTATACTGAACTTAACTACAGTTCTTAGGGTAGGTGGATTGAAATTTGTCACTAAACTTTTGTATCAAGAATTTGTTCTTTGCTGTATTTGAAAAATCAAATACAAAATGAAATTGTTATCTTTGCATTACACAGTAAAAATATGAAGATTGAACAGAGACCTGCTTGTAAACAGCAAACAAACTACATCAATCATCTTTTTCTTAAGAAAACTGTCTGCTTTTTCTAAGGGTGTTGAGAAACCCATGCATTAATTGCAATGATTTTTAAAGATTTTTAATAGTCTCTTTTATCTGGATCTCTAATAGGATTGATAACTATAATTCATATACTGAGAAATCAGCCAACACAGCTAGTTGTCAAATCATTAAGGCTGATTCATGTGCTAAGATTTGGGTCAACATATAACCCAGGTAATTGTGGCTTGTACAAAAACCATGATTTATAATGATGATATATGAACATGGCCAATGTCTTCTACCCCTCTGGATTTCTTTGGTCTTTCTTCTAAAAAATCTATTAAAAAGAAAACATGTAATAGATGCAAATACATTTTGTTAAGTGCTTGATTTGATTGAAAGAATCTGTGAGCATAGCCCAGCTACAAAACTATTATCTTTGACAATTCCCAGCAGGATTAGAGCATTGGTACAATAATTCTTGTCAACAGCCTAGTAATTATACTGACTCTTTTAAAATAGATCTATTTCTTATGATGTGTTTATTCTTTAAATACAATCCTGTCTTTTCTCCAGGAGTTCAAGGTTACATATATGGCACTGTCTCCTCTAGCTTTTCTCCACAACAACCTTATGAGGTGGATTGGGCTGAAAGAGAAAGAGGGCCTAAACTCAATTCAGTAAGCTTATTCAAATGTCAGCAAATGTTGCTTATTCAACAAACCATGATAAAGCTTAGTGGGATGTGATGAGAGCAAAGCTCAGCTACTGAATAGTAGGATCACTGATTAAGCAAGAGGCAAATGTACAAAACAAGATCAACAGCTCTCATGACTGTGTGTGAGAGAGGGAGAGGTAGAACTCCAGGGACCTGTGGGCTACAGGCCATAAAGCAAGTGCGGAGGGGGGAGGAATTAAAAAGGTACAAAGTGGATGATTTAAACCAGCCAAGTGGATCAGAATGGTATATAGATCCTCAGGCCACTAGTCACAAGTAACAAGATTTTTCACAGTATTAGAATGCTAAAATGGATCTCTCTTGGTGCATTCTTGGAGATTACCTAAATATTCAGCATTTGTCTTTGTCCTCAGAGAAAACAGCACTTAAAAATACCCAAAGGGGTTGTTTATGAAGATTCTCAGTCATCCAGGTGGAATTGTCTGGAGGCTGAGGGGTTGTTGGCTGATCTCTTGATGTGAACTTAAGGGATGGAGGATGTGTTAGTATTTACATACATTGTTACTCATGTGTGGTTTTGGAGTATTTTGTACAGAATGGTGATATCTGTAACATAAAGGTAAATTTACATTACAGATATTATCATTAGAATGGTAAAAATCTGTAAATTGTAATATAATAGGAGACTGTGAGTTCTAGTTCCGCCTTAGGCATGAAAGCCGGCTGGGTAACTTTGGGCCAGTCACTCTCTCTTAGCCCAACTCACCTCAGAGGGTTGTTGTTGTGGGGAAAATAGGAGGAGGAAGGAGTATTAGATATGTTTGCTGCCTTGAGTTATTTATAAAAATAATAAAGGCGAGATAAAAAATCTAAAAAAAAAATCTATTAATTGACCTATTCTAAGGATGGGGGTCTTCTTTGCCTTCTCCTTATGCAAGAAGATAGTAATACAAACATTAATGATGGCATTGCTTTCTAACATTTTTATTTATATAACTGAATTTTGATTATATTGAAACAAATATATCCTTTTTCTCCCCAAATCAGGCTGTTGCTTCTGAACTACTGTAGATAAACTACAGAAATGGAAATTTAGGTCCTGAAGCCAACATGCAATTTCTTTATATTGTCCTCACTGTCTGCAGATCTCAAACACTCAAGCTGATGTTGTCTTGTGTGAGTCTGAAACTCACAGAAAGCACGGTCAGCCAATCATTGCTCAATCTAAGCTAGTAAATGGCTAAGTGTAGGGAACATCAGTCTCACTCTATCAAGCTGGCCACCCACTGAATCTGGTGACCCACCTTGAGCTTCCAGTGCTCCAAGAATCAAACAGTCCTCCTCCCTTCCACACCTAGCCAGGTAACAAAACATTTGCAAGAAAACAACCAAGCTCAGAGAACCCCAAGGACTCCACAGTTCAACCCTGAGCTACACATACTCTCTTCTATTGACACCCATACATGTTGTCCACATGTATTTGTGTACATTTCTCTGGTAGTTTGCAAAATATTCCTCTTGACAAGGAACAGTTGCAAGGGAAGATTGAGACCATTACCAAAGGCATTGAGAAATGTAAAACACATTCTATTCACCATGATTCCAGAACAGGACTGAAAAGCAGGAAGGTGGCATTCTAACCAGTACTATAAAGCGTATTACTAGAGTGCATCCCAAGAGGATTCCATAACAGTAAAATTGCATTTAAGGGCTTTCTCCCTTATTAATTTAGAGAAATATATATGCACAAACAGCCAGGACATACTTGTGATTGGTCAGCAGCATGTTTGTCCCTTTCACAAATAAAAGGTCGCAGCAAAGATGTTCTGCTGTTTTCAAATTTTACTTCATAAAAAATGCTTACAATAATTAAAAGCAGAATGAATCTGCACAAGAAGAAATCTTATTACTGTATTTTCAGATGCATACATTCTCTTGAACTACATACCTATTACTTGGAAATTGACAGCTGACAATGGTAATGGATTCTTCGTGTCCTTTTTATTGTGAAGGGATTAACTCTTCATTGTAACATAAATGTATGGCCCCAATTACTCAGTGGATGGAAGACCTGATCTTACTTGCATCTTGTGAATGAGTTGCTTTTAGAAATAGATTATGTGTTAAGAGTTATAATGAAATGTGCTTATCTTTTATTGAAATTGTTGTGCCAAAAATGCCATACGTATACATCTGAATATAGATGTAAGCCCTTGTACAATTTTTCTTGTAATTGCATTGTGTATTTTTCTCTCAGTTTGTAGAATGCACTAAACATTAACTCAAATAGACTGGGTTCACACAAACAGTTATCATGGTTGGCTTGTTTCTGATTTAGTATGTGAGTCCTCAGTGATGTCATTTTCCCACCAGTAACTCAGAGCATCATCCAGTCATCCCTGAAGCAATATAAAGCCTTTCCTCATGACGATTATTTTGCAGAAGGCTGGATGGGTGATGTGGAGTCACTGTAAGACATTGTAAGTTGCTAGTACAGAAATGACCTGTTTCTCTGAAGCGGCAGCAGTGCTAATTTTTCACAGGGAGGAAAAAAAAAAAAGCATCTTGCAGACCTTCACCCATTTTTTTTCCATCTTAGCACATCAGACGTTGGGCTGCAACGCTCAAGACATCTGGAGGCACCAAGTTGGAGAAGGCCACCTTGAAGATCAGAGGAGGCACGTTGGTGTCCCAGAATCCCTTTTAACTGGCCATGCTAACTAAAGTTACTGGACACCGAAGTCCTCCTACTATAGTCTAGCACTTATGCTGATTTAGGAAGCCCGCATAAACCTAATGCATTATTACTGTCTCGGACCTTAATACGGACAACAGCTCCCATCCTGCCAACTTGGAAAGAAGACATAAACCAGACCTAGCGCATGAAGAAGGCCGTACGCATGCGCCTACATGCGCCATCCGTTTCTGCATCTCGGCGAGCGCTGGAAAATTTCGCATGCGCCCTCAGCTACAAGGTGGCAGCGGCAGCGGAAAGACTCGAAGGTGAATCTCACCCTTTTCCGGGTTTGTGGGAAGGCTGGGGAGGGAGAGAGAAGCGGAGGAGGTTGTACTTCCGGGTCCTGAGCGTCTTCCGGTCTGGACAGCGTCGAAGATGGTTGCTGGTCGATGGTTTTAGGTGGGCTGTTGCCGCCGGATTCCCGCACTTCGTGTCGGTGGGACAGGCGAAGAGTCGGTGGGTGCAAAGCGAAGAGGGAGGGCAGGGGCTGAGCTAAGTAGGCCGTCGGGTCCGGGCACCGGGTCCTGGGCTTTGCCCGTAGACCCGTCGGGTAGGTTCGCCCTGAGCGTCATTGGATGTGGCCGCTGGTTGGGGCTGCGGATTAGTTTGGCTCCCCGCATCCCCAAGGAAGGGAGTTGGGCATTTGCGAGCCTCCTCTTCCTCAGTTGTCCGGCGGTGAGAGGTCCGGAGGGCCAGCGAATAAATACAGTACTGGCTTCCCTGTCTGGGTTTCCTACTCTCTCCTCTGGATTTTACAGGGATGTAATAAAAAGGGAGACAAGACTCACTAGAGAGGGCGGGTGAGAAGCATTGCTTACCGTATGTATGTATGTGTGCTGCAACTCCTGTGTGATTTAGTTAAGGTTGATGGAAAAAATCCTGAAATAAGGGAGTCTTTCCCCCGTTGATTCCTAATTACAGTTTCCATTGTTAAGTTTGATTCCCTGATCAGAGGCCAGGTGAGTCAATATATAAACGAATAAACTCTTCATTAAAAAAAAAAGCCTCAATTATTATTTGTGCAGCCTTGTATTGGAAAAGGGTATGTTTCTTCTCAAATGGAGAACATCTTACTGTCCTTTCAAAACAGTTTGGCTGTGGTATGAGTGGCTTTCCATTGCATTTATTCAGCCTACTCTTTGAATGCCCCGTCTAGTCCACCATCCTGGCTTTTGTGAGGGTCTCCTATCCAATAAAACTGCAGGGACTTGTCTAGGCAGTCACCAGGAGTCAATACTGACTTGAAGGCACAAGTCCTATCCAAGTACTAATCAGCTTTGACCACTAGCTTTTTTGGAATCAGCCAAGATTGCTTAGGCATGACCACTTGCTATGAAAGGATTAGTGTTAGACAAGTTGTTAGTTGATTCATTTTTTAGAATATAGTTGGATGATCAGAAACAAATTATAACAGTATTGTAAGAAAGTTATAGTTGCTACAGAGTAATGGTGGAATGGGTATATCACCCTTCTGTCTGTGTTTCCAAACCTCTCAAATGCATCTTGGTGGTGGTGGGAGCCTTAAAATGCTATATTAAATAGACCTCTGACCTGATCCATCAGGACTGTTACTTTTAAATTCAGTAATCAAGCTAAATGTAAATTCTCCCTTGAGTCATGTTTAACTTCTGATGACATGCTCATGTAGTTTTGTTGGCAACAGTACAGAACTGGTTTGCTATTACCTCTTTCTGGGATTTTTTTTCAATTTTTCACCTTAGCCTACAGTCATTGGATTTAGTGGTGTTCTCCCATTTAAGTACTAAACAAGTCTGAGGAGCCAGACTATTAAACCCAGGCAGCACACTCTTCATGTATTTATTCCTCACACTCTTTGTTTTACTTTGTATGTTGATATTTGTGGACAATGCACAAAGAAGCATAATTTAAATAAAATAATTTAGAAAAAATTATGTAAAGAATTTAAGATTTTGCTACTATGGGAAGTAGCATGAGGAGCAATTTTCCATAGATACTTACTAAGCCTGTACATTTAAGAATTTGGCAAGGCATTTAAAGTTGCTACCCTGATAACTGGGTGAAAAAAGAGATAAGCTTGAGGCTAGAGAAAACAGAAGTATTTGCTTGGCAAATAAAATTTCCCAATGATAGTCGAATATTTGAAGTGGTTGCATAGTATTGGAGATAGTATCAAAAATCTCTTTTGTGGTATGTTTATTTTCAAGGAGGGAGGGCCTCTATCTGTTTAACTTATTGAGTAAGCCTATTGTGATCAGTTTTAAGTTTCTGCTCAGTGCTAGAGATATTATAGATGATAAGTCTATATAGTGATAAATGCAGACATTCTAGGTAAGTGAGATGAAAAATACGAGCAATTTAAACAAAAGTATTTACTCAGGATTTCTAATAAGAGGTCAATTTTTATATGTGGTTACCTGGTCCTATTGAACGTCGTGGACTTCTTTGTGGGCATGATAAAATTGTGCAACCTATGATAAAAACTATTTAAGACCTAGTAATATTCAAAGTAGAAAAACAGATCAAATAAGATTTGAACTATAGACTTTCTGAATCTTAGAAACTCTGTCTTGATTTTTCAAAATATTATACTACACTAGTTCTCACTGTTATTTCATAATGTAGTCCCCCCCCACCCCATTTTTCAGGTGGTCAGGGACATTGATGCCCAGAGGCATTGTTTTTCTGCCATTGGGCTGGCCCTCTGGAATGGTCTGCCATAAGAAGTGCATTTGGCCCAACTCTAGTCACCTTCCAGAATCTTCTGAAAACAGCTTTTGCAGAGGGCATTTGGGGGGTCATGTCTGATGCTATCTGTAATGCATGTTATTCCATTTTTTTACTGTTTTTTGTATTTTTCATTTTTACTGCTATTGTTTTCACATTGTCAGTCATTGAGAGTCTGTACCAGTGTTTCTCAACCTTGGCAGCTTTCAGATGTGTGGACTTCAACTCCCAGAATTTCTGGCTGGGGATTCTGGGAGCTGAAGTCCACACATCTGAAAGCTGCCAAGGTTGAGAAACACCGGTCTGTACAATTGCAGCAGGATACAAATGTGATAAATAAATAATCTTAAGATTTACCTGCAATTAATTTGATTATAATCTCGTGATATTTGTGAGTTGTATCACAACTGTGGTCTAACCTGATGCATGTTAACTTAGCAGGGATTTCTACTGAATGCAGTGGGATTTGCTTCCAATAAAAGGATGGGAGATGATTGTGATGTTCATGGGTGCTTGGATTCTTTTGTTTCTAAATTGCTTTCAAGATATAATCATTCTTTTGGTAGATACAAGTTTTAATACAATGAAGTAAACTATATTTGCAAAAGACTTATTGATTGCTATCTATCAGGCTATCAAATGAGCTAGCATCTACTATCCCATAAGCTTTCATTTGGATTTTCTTATGCTGCATGTGGGGACAGGAGCTACTGTTTCAGTAGCTTACACATTGGTAGTTCTGTATTCTACCAAACAACAATTTCTTCATGTTAATGGGTTCTTAGAAAACAGGATCCCATAGAATATTGCTTAAAACCAGTGTACATGGGCTTTTCTGAATGGATAGATAGTAGTGGGGAGAAGCTGCATAACAGGCTATAAGCAATTTTGTTACCCAAATTAAATTAGCTGTGGCTCTGATTCTCAAAAGAGAACAAGAAAGGTTTGTTGGATCATTTAAAGATTAGGGATATGAAACATGGCATATTAATTTTTAATAGGTTTTTCATTTTTGCAACCTTAAATTCAGTTTGCTCCATGTTTTAAAACTATGCATGAACATTTTCCCAATATAAACAAGTTTGCATGCACATTTACAACAAACATTTTTATAGAGAGAATTTCCTAATGTATGTGGGTTTGTATTTCATTCAAGTTACAGATTGCATCACAAAGTTCATATAATGCTGATTGTGGCATATTGGTATATTCAGCTTGCATATATAATTGGGAAGTACACATTTGGTACAGTGGGGCAAAAAAGTATTTAGTCAGCCACCAATTGTGCAAGTTCTCCCACTTAAAAAGATGAGAGAGGCCTGTAATTTTCATCATAGGTATACCTCAACTATGAGAGACAAAATGGGGGGGAAAATCCAGAAAATCACATTGTCTGATTTTTAAAGAATTTATTTGCAAATCATGGTGGAAAATAAGTATTTGGTCAATATCAAAAGTTCATCTCAATACTTTGTTATATATCCTTTGTTGGCAATGACATTCTTTAAAAATCAGACAATGTGATTTTCTGGATTTTCCCCCCCATTTTGTCTCTCATAGTTGAGGTATACCTATGATGAAAATTACAGGCCTCTCTCATCTTTTTAAGTGGGAGAACTTGCACAATTGGTGGCTGACTAAATACTTTATTCTTTAAAAATCAGACAATGTGATTTTCTGGATTTTCCCCCCCATTTTGTCTCTCATAGTTGAGGTATACCTATGATGAAAATTACAGGCCTCTCTCATCTTTTTAAGTGGGAGAACTTGCACAATTGGTGGCTGACTAAATACTTTATTCTTTAAAAATCAGACAATGTGATTTTCTGGATTTTCCCCCCCATTTTGTCTCTCATAGTTGAGGTATACCTATGATGAAAATTACAGGCCTCTCTCATCTTTTTAAGTGGGAGAACTTGCACAATTGGTGGCTGACTAAATACTTTATTCTTTAAAAATCAGACAATGTGATTTTCTGGATTTTCCCCCCCATTTTGTCTCTCATAGTTGAGGTATACCTATGATGAAAATTACAGGCCTCTCTCATCTTTTTAAGTGGGAGAACTTGCACAATTGGTGGCTGACTAAATACTTTGCTCTCTGCAGGTCATTCACTAGGTCCCCCCGTGTGGTTCTGGGATTTTTGCTCACCATTCTTGTGATCATTTTGACCACACGGGGTGAGATCTTGCACGGAGCCCCAGATCAAGG